GGGATGAGCATACTCTTCACTGGGTAAGAAACTGGCTGGATGGCAGGGCCCAAAGAGTGGTGGTGAATGGAGTTAAATCCAGTGGGCGGCCAGTCACCAGTGGTGTTCCCCAGGGCTCAGTACTGGGGCCAGTTCTCTTTAATACCTTTATCAATGATCTGGATGAGGGGATCGAGTGCACCCTCAGTAAGTTCGCAGACGACACCAAGTTGGCCGGGAGTGTTGATCTGCTGGAGGGCAGAAAGGCTCTGCAGAGGGATCTGGGCAGGCTGGATCAATGGTCTGGGGCTAACTGCATGAGGTTCAACAAGGCTCAGTGCCAGGTCCTGCGCTTTGGTCACAACTACACACAAGCTACATGCTTGGGGAAGAGTGGCTGGAGAGCTGCCCAGCGGAAAAAGACCTAGGGGTGTTGGTCAACAGCTGGCTGAATATGAAGCAGCAGTGTGCCCAGGTCGCCAAGAAGGCCAGTAGCATCCTGGCTTGTATCAGGAATAGTGTGGCCAGCAGGACTAGGGAAGTGATCGTGCCCCTGGACTTGGCACTGGTGAGGCCGCACCTCAAGTGCTGTGTTCAGTTTTGGGCCCCTCACTACAAGAAGGACACTGAGGTGCTGGAGTGTGTCCAGAGAAGGGCAACGATGCTGGTGAAGGGTCTAGAGAACAAGTCTTGTTGAGGAGTGACTGAGAGAAGTGGGGTTGTTTCCTACAGGGTGGAATGGGCTGTGGTGTTTTCGCTGTTGGATTCTCTAGTGTCTTATATAATGTGAGCTTTGTGCTTTAGCCCTTTCCTTAGCCTGGACCTTAGAGTACCTCCATCTTTTACCTGGCTAAATATCTTCACCTAATTGGTAGAAACACAATTATCTAGCCTCCTGATAAACTGAAATCATATCTGACCTGGGGTAAGAAATTGAAGCCACTTTCCTCCAATGGTCAAAGATGACCAAATGCATTTGGTATTGCCTAAATCAGATTTAGGCATGTTGGAGTTGGTGGGCATAAACACCTTCCTTCAGGATGAATATAGAGACACTGTTAGATCCCTTATGATGCAGCTGAAACAGAAACACTACAAAGGCTTGAATAGGAGCTAAACCACACATCCCCAGCAGTCTTCCTGTAGGGTTGCAAAATAAGACAGCACTTATGGCAGTGATTGGTAAAACTGCTTGTCTGCGTGTTTGTGAAAGGTGCCACAGAAATACTGCAGAGACTGAGACAAAATACAATCATGGAAATAAGAGACAAGGAGGTTGGGGGCTAAAACACATGACATGAGAAAAGGCTGAAGGAGCTACGTTTGCTTGGCCTGGAGATGGGAAGGTTTGGGGGAATCTAATTACAATTGTCCGTTGCCTGAATTGGGGTTATAGGGAAAAGAGAGAAAAGCTGAGGAGCAACGAGCACAAGCTGCAACACAAGAAATTCCAGCTCCATACAAAGAAAAAGCATTCTCACCGCAAAAGTGGTTAAGTGCCGGACCAGGGGGCCAGAGACATTGTGTAATCTCCATTCTTGGAGATTTTTGAGGCCAAACTGGACAGGACCCAACAACCTGAACTAACTTCAACATTGACCCTGATCTCAGCAGGAGGTAGGACCAGATGAGTTCAAGGTCCCTCTAACCTAAATTTTCCAATTTCCTGCACAAGGGGAAACTGAACATTGCAGTTTTCGTAAACAGCATTGCACAGAAGCATACACTGTCAGCTTTTTTCCCCTAACTGGAACAACTGGCTGGACCTAAGCTTCAGTGAACTGCATATATTAAAAATTACTAGTAGTATCTAACAGTTGCACTGATCTAATAAGCCTGACTGTGAAGAGACTTGCACTTTCCATAGCATTTAGCTGAGGGTACTTTTACTACGCACATTGTGCTTATATTAAGTAAATAAGGCTATTAAATGGCATAACAAAAATTTGGAGTAATCAAGAAAAGTTAAGAATTCTCTGCTATATTAAGAGAAAACAGCAACTGAAACAAATGGATGTTCACTCTTTTTGTGGAAAAAAAAGGTCTCCTTTCACAGTCTTCCCTTTCTCTGTTTACTGAACGTATTCATAGCAAACTTTAAGAATAGACAGATGTTGGCTTTGTTTCAGTGGTAAATTATGGAAAGAACCTGAGATTTCCTTGAGATGGTTTATAAATTGGAACCAAAAGCATCAACCTGAATGCACTGTACATCTTGAAAATTAATTACACACCTTGTAGTGTTTCTAGTCATGTTTGAGATTCACAGACGCGCCAAGATTATCCTGGCGGGTAGCCAGCGCAGACAGAGGTATGGACAAAGCATATCTTTGCAGAAAGTCATGTGTACGCCAATTTCTCAAGATGTTTTGCCTCAGAGCAATTAATTTACTAAGGCTGTATTTTTATCTGTCAAACTGATAATAGAGGTCAGGTTATAGTAGAGATCCGAAGCAAAATGCATCTGCTAATGAACCACCACACTTTCCCAGGATCCCAGCCTTGCGTGGTTTGCACGTAGTTACGGAGGAGAAAGCTGTACTTGTATTGCCCTTGTGAAAGCTAAGAATAAACGCAGGTCCCGAGCTCTGGGCGATGCCAAGGTCTTACGCATGCAAATAATACCCCAAGACTGGAGACACTGCTCCAGCACTTCTGTGCATTGGCCGGGCCAGCTGACTGCGCAGAGGAGAATAGCTGATAATCGAACATAAGGTTGTTCCTAAATATCACATCCTAACCTGAAATATTTGGCAAATACTTGTATCTTCAAAGATTTGTAATTACATATTTGTATTTAAAAATAACAATGCACATGATCTGTCCAAAGTATTATAAATCGAAGTATAAAACAAAAAGCTTAAACCTAAACTGGCTTAAAACAGTCAATTTAAAAATTACATTCAAGAGTATTGCTACTAAATCTCCAACTGCCAGGAAAATTGCCAAAATTTTGGCAGTTCTGATTTGAAAACAGCACATTATTTAAGATCTATTAAAAAAAGGGAAATCATCTGAGAGCACAATGAGAAATAAGACACATTGTCCACATCCTGCAAACAGATTTCTGTGAACAACGACAAGTCCTGAGAAAGCTAAACACAAATAAATGCTGTGTGAAAAATGACAGCAAAAGATTAAGTATCAACTAATTATTCCTTGCTGACTTGCTGCCTGTTAACCCACCGTCAAGCCAAAAGGCTGTTCCAAACTTTTTTGGCCGGTCGTTTCATTTCTGGTCCAACATGTATTTTTATTTTATTTTAAGGCTTTCAGAAGCTCTTGGCAGTACACAGGGTTTTGGGAGCAGGCAACCCTCTCAACTCTTCCTCCCAGCATGACAACCACTATTTTCTTTACCTATCAGTAGTCAGTTTTCTTTGTTTACCCATGTCTGCACAACATCTGTCTTCACTCACTGTTCACTGAACCCATTAGTCCTCCAAATTGTAACGGCTCATCTTCTTGAAGGAAAAGTTGTTTGGGGTTTTTGGTGTCAAGTGCTTTCCTTCCACCTTCTAGGAGGACTTGAAAAATTCACAACCTTACTGCATCATGAGGGGAAGGAAAACCTAACATAGGCTTTCACAAAAAAATCTTCTGACGCTCTTGTGGCACAAAAAGAAAAAAAAAAATCCCAAAAAGGAACTGGGGAGGGATGAGGGGATTTGGCTATTTGATCGTTCCACACCCCTATTCTATTCAGTCTCTCTTGTTCATTTTCCACATTCCTCCATACTCATGACTATTCTGAAGGCAGGATATTTGGGGTGCTCTCTCCATTTCAGCAATCCTAGTATACACATTACTTGCTTTCCCTTTACCAGTATGGGTAAGGGAAAGACAAAGGTCATTCATCAGCTCCACCAGAACTGACAGTAATTACTCATCAGGCTGCCCATTTCCTAGGTGATGCTGCATCTGCAGTTGGGTAAATTAAGATACCTGGCTGCAACCAATGCTCTTCTGGACACCGGGACGAGTGACTGGCATAAGAAAGCCGACCAGGTAGATTGATTCTGTATGACCTTGAGCCACACTCAAAGTACTCTTCCTAAAGGCTGAGGCTGTATCTTTACATATATTTCACTGAACACAATTTATAGCAGCCTACCAAAATGAACAACGCATAGCTTCTCAGGTAAAGCATGCGCAGGCTGTCCCATGAGTTCAGGAGAGAAGGAATGTTAATTGCTCTAGCTACCATCTTCATATTTGGCAGAATACTCTTTTTTTTTTTTTTTTTTTTTTTTTTTTTTTTTTTTTTTTTTAATATAACTGCCAAGAACATTTTAATAACAACTTAAGTGTTAACACATTCCTAATGGGCAGACAATCCTGTTCCTGGATAAACTCTAAGCACTGCAAATGGAATAGTGCTAGCTCTGCACGTTATGTACTGCAACTGAAGGATACACTTGAGCCGCTCTTTTTTTGAGGAGGTTTCCTCAGTCTGCTGTTCTCTGAACTGCTTTTTGCAATCTTGTTTACACACTGTGCAAATAAAGTGCATGAGGGACAAAATTCACCCACGGGCAGAAAGTTGCATCAAGGTTCAATGCATCGTTTTGACGTCAAGCAAGCACTTAAAGAAAATGAAGTCATGTATGACATGTACGGGGAGTGGAGGGGAGATTCCATTCAGTAAGGCTTCTCACATGGCTATCTAGAAATGCTATTGAGCAATAAAAAAAAGAGTAGGAAAGCTCTTTCATCTGCTGGTGACAAAATAAAAAATAATCAAATATAAGCAATTCAAAACAGGAGGCTTTACCCCATTCCTGCAAAGCTCTGTGCATGCACAGAGGTACTCTCAGCTGAGAGGCAAATAAGCCTCAGACTGCACCCACTCCCCTGTGCCACTGCCGCCCCCCAGTCCTGTAGCCTTTGCAGTCCTCACCTGAAGTTTCATTAGAAAAGCAATTCTCAGGCTGAAGCACATGAGAAGTGAGAGAAATTATTCATTTCTTTGCAGAGGAGGAGGGTGGTGTGGAGGGATGAAGACAACTCAAACCATCACTGCATACGTGTCTCTGGCATCCCTCACCTGCTCCCGCTACACCGGGGAAGTGCAAACTGCCTCCCTAAAATAGCCTCTTCCCTTTCCATCCCTGCAGGCCTGGAGCAGGGCAGGCCACACGTCTATGGGTGCTGGCCCTCCTCTGATGAGAACTTGGCTCAGCTGTTACAAAAGTCCGGGAAAATCCCATCATGACAAAAGCATATGTCCCCCATTGAGCTGAATGTGAAAAGCCAACAACCAATCTTACCAGGCAAACAACAAGCAACTAATGGAAGGCAAAACTGCAAAGAGAACAGGGCGGCGGGGGGGGGGGGGGGATGAGCTTATTGGCATCACGGGGATGGGATGGGATGGGATGGCTCCTATGACTGGAGTGCTGGAACGGAAGGAAAAGGAAGGCAAAACGGGAAAAGGAAGGGGCGGGGGGGGGGGGGGGGGACGACACACACAACAACAACAACAAAAAAACACTCAACTGAATTAAAAAACCAAGCTTTGCCAGCTGCAGGGAATGATGAGAAGGAAGAAGGCATTGGTGAGAATAATGGTGGGAGGCTGCTGAGATAGCCCACAGGGCTCTAGCAAAATGTTATCAGCAACGAGTCTTGTCTTAACCCTGCAACCCAGCTGTTTGTATTCAGCTGAGTATTTGCAGTTAATGTACTCACCAACCAAGGATGACCCTATTTCTTGCTTCACCTGTACAGTGAAGGAACATGGCAGAGAACTGATGCTGCCACTCTCCTGGCAGACAAGAAATGACTAAATGACGTGTTACCTCCACCACTTTGGGACGCTAATATTCCCACAGCGGTCTCTAGTGCAAGCTGCACATCTGGTGCAGTTACAACAGCTGGCAGATGAAAAAAGAAACTAAAATCAAGACAACCCTATTTCCTCACTAACATCTGCATCTGAATGCAAACCCAAATGAATACACAATTTCACTTTTTGCTTTAATGATGCCAGCCTAGACTAAGCCTTTATTATATGCGGCGGTTTGCTTGCACAGCCCTAAGTGCAAAGGTAACTCAGTCATAGCTTGCCACCCCCGAGGACACCCACTTGCAGCAGAGACACAATCAAAGCCTTTTCACTGTACAAGGCTTCTCTTTTATGAAGAGCTGGCTTAAATATGTAAGCAATTTCATAGACAGAAAATCTGAGTAATTTTCAAAAGGTCATCTTTTCTAAACTGGTTGCTTTAAACTTTTGCTCTCATTATGCTGTAGCTGGTATTTTCTTTAAGTCACCATTAAGGAACCGAACCTAAGGTCACTAGTAACAACAGCCATTTACTCTTTTCACCTAGCAACAGATTATACAAATGTCCTGTTATTAAAAAAAAAAGCATTCTCACCTTGTTTGGGTACTTGTGCAACACCCACAGCTATACATATTGCAATAAAAAGGAGAGTTTTCCTAAAAGGGAAAGAAAGAAAAGAACATGTGAGAAAACATCTACAGTTTCAGAACTCCAAGGAATTAGAAGCTTGATTCAACATCCAGAGTCAATGGCAGGATACCACTGACTTCAGCAAGCTGGATCAAAGCCATCCCATTGTACAACTTTCCACTGATGCTGAAAAGGCGTTTTACACAAAGATCAAGGATTATGTATGCCCTCACATATAGTATATATATTTTACACTGGCTTATATTAATAAAGTAACTGCATCTGGTTTATATTTTCTTGCAGCAGCCTTCAAACATGAATGCTGCTATGTAGTAAATTTCTTCCTGGAAAGAAAAAAAATGTTACGGTAAAGAAACCTTAAAATAAATGACAAGTTAATGCCTGTGGAGATCATTAGATATTTCTGACCTGGTATCATTCTTATCACAATATCACATCATTTTACCATAAATGAAAATGTCCTGTCACACTTTTGTTGCTCTATTATAAAACTTTGTCATGTTACATGCCGTTCACAAAGTAAAAAAATCCCATCACATTTTGCCTTAAAACTTCATGCTCCGATAGAAGAGTGCAATACTGGTAAGTATCATAGGCTCACCGATTGCAATGAACATATATAAAGTTGATATGGATTATGTGCTCAAAATTTGCTTTAAATGAAAAGTGTTGGATGTTGGCTAAAGAATACATTTTTACCATGGTTAAAAACAGACTGCTGGTTTTTACTCAATTATCACATTAGCATCTAATCACACTCTTTTCAGTGACTGAATCTTTCAATAAATGAGAAATATATTTTCTGTTCATGTTGGACATCCAGGCACAGAAACAGATGTATGTAACAATAATAGTAACGTATACCTATTTAGTTCTACGAAACTACTCAACTCATGCGCAAGCCTCAGCTCAACCTTCGTTCTCATTAACGTATGTAACCTCATTGATTTTTCATAATATTAAACGCTAGATTGACCAAGAGTGTTTGCTGGACCATGCCAGAGAGCACTTCAGTATCAGCAATAAACAGTATTTGAACTGTTTCAACTAAACACCCGTAACTTCACGTGCTGTAGCTTTGCCAGCTCCTTAGTCAGGTTTGCACAGCAAAAAAGTGCAGGAAGAAAACCCTACCACTTTATACAGGAACGTATGGTTCAAACATCAACAACAGACAAGTTCCTTCCGCTAAGCGTTCACTGCCAGGTTGCCTTCAGCTCAGAGGACAACGTATGCATAAACCAAGTATTAGTAATGCTACAATGACAAGAAATCATATATATATAAATATTTAAATCATAGCATATGTATGTAGACACACACACATGCATACATAGCAGTATTTAGTGAAAAATCTTAATATTCCTTTCAAGGGTTTGCAATTCAAAAATTCCAGAAACATCCAAGTGCATGAAACACATTAAAAATCTCGTTTTCTCAATTTGCTTAGTGAAACAAAGAAAAAAAGAGTCAAAATTCATTGATCTAGCAGAGGATGGGTTTGATTGCTTACTCTCCTTCCACTTAGGCAGTTTTACTGTGGGGTTTCACCCCAGTTTTCAAACCAAGTCCCCCTTAGGGGAGGGGGGTACTTCACAGCTGGTGCCGCTGCTTCTTGTGGGCCCCCTCCCCAGCCCAGTCCAACCCAAGCAGCAGGCAGTTCTCAACCGCCCCCTCCCCAAGCCCAGCCCTTGATAGACACTTGGCAACCAAAGCCCACTTGGCTGAGCTGTCTCCCAGTTCCTGGTACGAGGAAAAACACCCATGGCAAATGCTGGGAGGAGGAAGGAAGCATTCGAGACCCAAGCAATTCCCCTTCCTTACAGGTGTATTGGTTCAAACGATAACTAAAAAAGCACACTATCCACCACCACCCACTCTCCCGCTGGCAAAACTCTCTGCTGTTCTTTCCTTTTCCACCTGATCAGCAGCCTGGACTGTATTCAGAAATAGCCACACTGATTTTCAGACAAAGCACTTATGTAAACAGGATTTCAAATTACAGGGACAGGGAAGAGAAGCTTTGTAAAATTAGACTAACCATATTTTTCCTGCTATGATATATCTTAGAGTCTCCTGCAGCATTCTTCAAAACATCTGGCTCAGAGTTTTCAAAGCAAATAAATGGGCTGGATCTTGGACAAAATTAGGTCCATTGGTTATACACCTACATGTGGATTTGCATATTGTGAGAGCTTAAGTTTTGGCAATCAGAACAAATGAATAATTTAAAGAACAGTAAAGCATGATAATGGTAATATTTTGTCATTAGTATTGCCACTGTAAAACTGCAGATACATCAGTTTTTTTAGAAGAAAATGCACAGGATGTAAAGAATATTCAAAAATATGCATCACTGCTCCAGTTCTGATCACAGAAGGGGAGCGGAGTGGAAACCACACCTTACAAATCCCAATGTGCTTGTAAGGGCACGTTTTTTAATTAACCACTGCAGTCCCTCGCTATTCCTTTCTTCAGGCTTTCTCCTGCAACAGCCATGAAATACCTACTGAGGCAGTTCTGCCACTCCTGCAAAAGACCCAATATTGACTGTAGTCCAAACAGCAAGTCAGCTATGGGACACTCACTTTGGGTTTTTCCAGCTCGGAAGACCGGAATTCAAGTTCATAGTTCGTGTCACACAGTGCATCATCTTTTGATCTAACGAGAAGCTCAGTGACAGGAGATAGCTGTGTTAGGAAGAAAGTCCATGCATTGCACTGTATCAGCTAAAACTCATGACAAATCTTTATTTATTTATTTGACTTTCATGGGCACAAAATGGACTCGCAATTGAAAATAGTGTAAGACATTTTAGTTAACTCCAAAGTCAAGATGCTCAAAGGACCCCAGAGCCCAAAACGCAAAGATGACTCCTCTTAACATTACAACAGCCTCTTCCACAACGTCAGCCAGGGAGAAGCTGTGTGTCAGGTATCTGCCTCTGTCACCTCCCAGCAAATGTTGTAGGAAGGCAAGAAATTCCAAAATGCTCCCAGGGCTGTAAATTACACAGATGTAACTGGATATACAGAAACATTCAGTGAGAGGTAAAGACAAATGTCTGGCTTACACGGTGCTCTCCAGCTAATGTCAAGAACAGATGAGTGATCAGCTAAGAGCAAAAACAGGGACCAGAGACAACCATAGCGCTGGAGGTCCTCTAATGCATGGGAAAAGTTAGTCGTCTTTCTACCCTTTTTCACAACAAGTAAAACTTTTTGTAAATGAAACCATGTGCAACCTAAAGTGAAGTTGTACAAGGGAGCCCTCCATAGCCGAAGATAAAAAAAAATGAAATTTGGTCTTTCTGAGAGAATCTGTTCATGCAAACTCTCCCTTCTTGGTCAAGATCACTACTCTTTGCAGAGCAGCCAGTTCTCAGTCTCCATTCTCACACCAGCACTGCCACTAAGCCACCAGGCTCCCTGCTGTGTAATGCACACCTGGCTTGATCCATCGTCTGACATAGCTGTGAGGAACAAAGCAAGCAGCATGCAGAAACCCTGGACCGCATGCCTTAGCTCAGCCCATAGGTCTTGGAGACACTTGCTCTGTTGGGACATGACAATAGAAAAATACAAAAGCATGTGGCAAGGAAGACTCCAGCTGTCTCAAACACTGGGTATTTTTCCCCCATTTAACACCACACATGAAGCTGTTCCAATACCCCTTGGCTATGTCCTGTCCTAGAGCCTAGGTATCTCTTGAGCTTCCTCCTCTCCTCCCACCTTTTCATCTTCTCTCCTATTTTACATGCAAGCACAAGCTGAGGGCAACTATATAATTGGTTGGAGGAAGGCACTATCAAACATGGTTGAGCTATTCTACCACTTAAAATAGAGCTTATCTTTCTGATAATCTTTGACATCTTGTGGCTGTTTGCCTCTTCCTACGAGCGGACAGCAACTACCTGTGTTTATTTTTTGTCCATTAGGGGTGACAAATGAGGAAACTGATAAGCCTCAAAGCAAGCTGTGGCAAGCAATGATGAAAAATTCCACCCTCTGAAGACTATTCAGCAGCGTACAGAGCTTGGGTTTGGTCAGTGCACAGCAGTACCCTCTTCATTCCAGGCTAGTTTCCTAAATCTCAAGTTTAAAGGAAGAAATACCACTAGCTGCCTGCTAGAGAAGGCAGGAAAACCTTTTTCCAGCATAACTGGCACAGATGCATTCAACCCTGCGCTTATCAGTCATGGTGGTTTAAATACCAGCACCTGCCCCAGGCGCATTGCTTCACTGGATCTCCTCTGAGGAGAATGGCCCAATTTGTGTCCATCAAACAGGAGGGCTTTGGGAAAGGTGATGGCACCTTGTGGGCAGAGATGCCCTGGGCCTCTTAAAGACCCCAAGCTGTTAAAAAGCCTGTCTTTCAAGATCTGAGAAGAAAGATATCTTCCTTTGCTGCTATAATGAGATTAGCCAGCAGGTCCAGTGCTGCTTCCCAAGTTTTAAGAGACCTACTCTCAATATGGCTTGAGGGGACACGACAGCCTCTAAAGCCTCTCCCGGGTGCTAGTCGCATGCCCTCTGGGCACGGATGCTGCTGCACACCTAACCAGCGAGGGGAAAGCTCCTGAATCCTTTTCTGCAAGTTTGCAATTTGAAAGAAGGGGAAGAGGGGGAGGGACAAGACAAGGTGAGAGGCAGAGGATCAAAAGATGTATTGCTCTCTCCTTCTGAGGAGCAGTGGCCTAAGACGAGTCCTACAACAGTGTTGTGGTTTGGAGAAAGGAAACTCCCTGCCTGGTGGCCCAGCCACTCTCCGGACAGCATTTGGTTTAAGATGAGAAACTACCACGTCCAAAAGAACAGTCAACTCTGTTAATATTTCTAAAAGGAGAAAAATTAATGAAAAAGATGTGGTTTTAGAACCATTTTATAAGTACATCCCTGATTTCTTACACCAGTTCTCTCATCTAGATAGCATACACTAAGTGTTTTCCTCTGTATTAACGCAAAAGCATACAGCTCAAATTCCCACTCCTGTGAAATACTCTCGTCTTTCAGGGTTTGCCTCTGTACATTTTGTAGATCGCTCTTCAGACATTCTACAATTCAGCACTCGCAAGAGACAGGAGTAAACACAAGGCTGTTCATATTTTAAAATTAAACATTCCATCAACAAATTTGCTGAGAGATTTAGGAGTCATGCTGCTGTAGGAGTTTTATTTATTTAACCTGCAGAGACACCTCTAGAGGTAGCAGGTCTGACCTAATGGCATTTCCACAAAAAGGTGGTCTAGGTTGCAAGGGACTGACTGGTTTGATATATGTTAAGGAAACCTGATCCTTTTGCAAAGAATTCTGGTTTCTTAACACAGGCAAGCAACCAGGTTGCTTTCTCTCTAGTCAAGTAAATTAGGTAAATAAGGTAGCTTCAGAATATATATCTATATGCATCTATCTCCAATTCTGAACTTGGGTAAACTGCATCTCTGCTACTGTACTACTTTACTCTTCATTCATGTTTCTCTATCAGCAACATCCCTTACAGATATCAAATAAAACCCTTTTTTAAATTGCACTCAGACGATTCCTGAAGAAGTCCCACGGACACAGCCATTGAACACACAGGTGCCCCGGGAAGGCCACCTTCAGGCAGCCACGTAACTGCTCAGCAGCGTTCAAGCGCACCCAGATCATACACCGGGCACACTTTACCAGCATAAGCCTCGCTACGACACAAGGCAAATCCTTCTCTGTCCCGCTCGGAGCTCTCAGTAAACTTAATTTAAGCCACAGCCAGAATAAAATAAGCACTTTACAAAAGGAGACACATACTAGTAACCTCTATAATACCATTAGAGCTATCAAAAGTTCACAGTCGTCTTGCCTAGGCTGCTTTTCGGCAAACTACAGAGGAGAGCTGAGCTCTTACCTTTGCATCACAGATGATGATGCATTAGAAATACCTCAGCCTATTGCAGTAGCAATACAGGGCACCTCATCTGGTCACCTCTGTTATTAAGAGAGCAGCCTCAGCTCTTAAACCTAAATTCTGCAGGTTTTGCTTGGTTGCTGTGTTTTAATAGCTAGGTAAAAGGGAGGACGAGCAGCCGGGTTAGGGGTGGGTGCAGAGGGAGGCTCTCCCCCAGGCTCCCTGTCCCCGCCTCGGGGAGCGGGGGCTGTACCGGCTCTCAGGTCAGGCTGCCCCGCTCCCGGGGGGCAAACACCCGCCTAAACCCGCCCCCCCTGCCCCGGGCCGGGCTCCCCGGAGCCAGGCTGCTGCCGGGGCGTGGGCTTGGACGGGGGAAGGATGACACGAGGGTGCCGGACGGGACCGGGAAAATCCAGGAAAGCAAGAGGGAGCGCAGAGAGACGGGAGAGCGCCTGGAAGGGCTAGGGGCGTGCGGAGGGGAGAGAGGCACAGGCGGGCTCCGTCCGGGGAGCCCTCTGGGGGCACCCGGGACCTGGCGGGGTTACGGCTGGTGCTCGGGGGGTAGGGGTGGGGGGACAGC